TAAAATATAGTTATTCTGAAGCATAACATTGAGTATTTGATTTTACTTATTGTATACATGATAATTTAAATATATCAAAATATATCATTCAATATAAATTTAAAATTTACTCTTAGGAATAGGAGAAAAAGAATAAAAGTATGATTAAATAAAAAAGAAAAGAAAGGTATAGTAGAAATAAAAAAAGGAAAATATTAAATTAATTATAATTTGGAAAATATATTTATTGTAAGGTTATTTTGTCTTGAATAAATTAATTTTATGCTTTTGATTTTGCTTCTTGGAAGAAGCTAGAATTTATAGCTTCTTCTCAAAAGTAGAAAAACTGCTTCTTTTGTTGCTCAAAAGTACTTTTTTATCTTGGTCAAACACCTTAACCTGTTTGGCCAAGCAGCCAAAAACTGCTTATTTTGAAAAGTGCTTTTGTTCAAAAATACTTTTTCAAAAAGTACTTTTGCAAAATAGCAATTTATGTTTGGCCAATTCGTTTGAGACGTGTTTTTTGCAAGCTCATTGTGTTTGGCCAATCTTTTAAAATAGCGTTTTTACGTATCAAATTACGAAAAGGACAGTAAAGGTTCAATTTCCGAATAGTATTATTTAGAAAATAAAAAAATTAAATAGTTATTACAAAAAATTCAATTAAAATATAAAACGTAAAGTAAAAATATAAATTAAAATTTTCAATCAATATAAAATATAGTTATTCCAAAGCAATAACATTGAGTTTTTGGTATTACTTATTGCTACATGATAATTTAAATATATCAAAATACATCATTCAATATAAATTTAAAATCTACTCGTAGGAATAGTAGAAAGAGAATAAAAATATGACTAAAATAAAAAAGAGAAGAAATGTATAGTAGAAATAAAAGGGAAAAGGAAAAGAAAAAGAAAAATATTAAATTAATGAGAGATAATTTGAAAAATATAAATTTAATGTAAGGTTATTTTTATCTTTAATAAATTAATTTTCTGCTTTTAAAATTTGTAGGTTCTCCCCAAAAGTACTTTTTTATTTTGGCCAAACACCTTAAATTTTTCAAAAAGTACTTTTTTTACAAACAAAAAAATACTTTTGACCTCTCAGAGCTTGGTCAAACAGTCTCTAAACTTTCTAAAAAGTATTTTCGGCTTCTTAGTAGCGTTTGGCCATAGATTCCAAATTTGTTTTGAAAAATCTGATTTGGGTGAAGTTTGGTTTATAGATGAAAATGTGTTTGGACATACGTTTTCAAAACCTATTTTCCAACTTTATTTTGGAAAAACATGTATATAATTCCCAAGTTTTGGGATTTTGGCGCTGATTTTGGGATTTGAAATTTGGGATTTGAGATTTGGCCAAAATATGAGCAAAATTTATGGCCAAACATGAGTTTTGAAAATAAATCCCAAATTTATTTTGGCAAAACTCATAGCTAAACGGGGCCTAAGAATCTTGGCCAAATAAACTCTTAGCTAGCTCTAAAGGTTAGTTGCATTGATTCTCCATAAGTGAGAAGTGATAAATTAAATTGACCCGAAAAAATAGTAGGATGCTATACCAATTGGCCCTTCCTCCTCTCCCTCTGCAAAATGACAACACTTAAGAAAAGACTGGCTCCACAATGACCCCATGCTTTCACAGTACTGTTTAGCCCATGACAGCTAATTTTATGAACACAAATCGGAATCTGGTTGGTCTAATTTATAATTATAATATATTTAAAACAAAGAAACTTAGTATAAGCAAGCCTTCAAGATGGTGCTCTCAAGGAATTTCTTTTCTGTTCAGACACCAGAACCACATAACTACAAATTGTTCAAAAACTTGTTACAGTTAACAACCGAAATGGTAGAAGCGACGCCAGGTTTTAAATTTTGTCTTTCATTTATACGCGAGCTATTCAAATTAAAAAGGTTGTTGGGTGCGCAAATAAAATCTCATGTTGGTTGCTGAATAGATTGGGAGCCAATAAGTTGTCAACATTTTTTAATGGAGTGAGACCTTTGGGGAAAAATCGTGTGAGCTAGCTTAAAGCAAATAATTTCATATCATGTTAAGAGTATCTTGCCCAACAAAGTTGATGTTCCGCCACAATCTTCATGTCCATGGCATATAGTTGTAGTGTTCTCTGTTTTCACAATTTTCATTATCAGAAACTCAGTTATAGAAAAACATTACACAACTAAAAATCGTAGGGTCAAGTCGGAAGCTTTGTTTAACATCTATAAAATAACATCAACTTCTAATGAATATTGTGCAGGAATATTAGCAACGATAGAATTATAGAATATGGTGATATCGGATTTAATTTGCATGATACGAATATTGAAAACTAGAGTGTTATAAAGAAAATCTTATAAGGGGGGGTCTGGGGAATATAAGAATCAATTGGCTTTACAAAGAAAAAGATGTAACCATAGGTTTTCACTTTTCATTTGCTTAATATGTGGGTGGCTTAGCAAAATTTATCAGAATTGCTTTGGGCTTTCTCCTTTAATTTCCTGTTACCGAAATGCTATTATACTCCTATTGGAGAGAAGCATAAATGCTCCCCACGAGTGGTATGAATATCCTGTGATTTTTAACTGGAAAGCGACAAATGCACCACTTGTTCGGATTAGGGATTCTTCCATTTTCTAAGTTTATCATTAGAAAAGCATGAATTTCTATGGCATCCAAGACCGTAGCGTAGTGGTCGATAAAGTGAATATAAGGTTTTGAACTCAAATCCCTATTGTCTAAATATAGGGGTTTTTTTTTTCATCATCATTGTTGAAAAGAAGCAATAAAAGATGCAAGAACAACAGCGCAATTACGAGAATAATATTAATGTCATAGATAAGAAAAAAATATACGCTCCATTATCTACTAACCTTCTATCCTAATTTTCAACATTCACACCCTCCTATCAAGGGTTAGATGTGCTATGTCCTGTCTTATCACTTCTCTCCAATACTTCTTTGACCTGACTCTACTTCTTCTGGACCCGATATGGCCAACTTCTCACTAGGTATCTGGTCATCTCATCTTCACATGTCCGAACTCGCTTCCCACATTTGTCCACTACAGAGGCAAATTAACATCTATAATATTCAGCTAAATGCAGCAAAAGGAAATTTAAGGAGGAAACAGTTAAATAATGGAAAAGCTGAATAAGGGTGTGCATGCCGATAAGCAACCTTCATCATTACTAAAGAAAAGTGGCTAATCAAAGTTCAATAAAATAAGATCAATATTAATTTCTAGCTCAAAATATTTATTCTGTTCACCACATATAAAAATGTACGGTCATGTACAAATTAAGCCAAAGTTTAGTCATGTTACTCTATTTTCAGAATATTTTCTCCAATGCAGCTTTGCAGCATCAATCCCCACTGAGAAATTCACCAAATTAAAATAAGGTTTTGTTCATTACTTCTTTCTTTTTTTCCTTATAGAGTACTTAAATGTCATTACTGTTCTAGCTTCACTCTTTTTTCCTGTTTTGATTTATCGACCCTTCAGAATTAGTTTATGGACATCTGAAGAAAAGAAAAGGTACGCATCTTTTTGCTTTTCTTGCTAATTTGTGACCTTACATTACATATTCCATCAGTTGAAGAGCTCAGAATATAATCAAATGTCAATGAGTATTAATAAAACTTATCATAAGGTTTAGGATTAAATGCATCACTCCATTAATTTCATGGTGGGTTCTTAAGTCAGGTCTTTGGTAGAGCCTGACACGCATTACATAAAGAGAAAAAGAAACGAATGCATAACATAGAAAATAAAAGGTTTAACTATTATACACTCGTCGGTACAAAGAATTTTTATCCTATCAGGTTATTCGAAAATCAATTATACAAGTTTTACTATAATATATAAACACGGATTGGTAAGCCGAAAAAGACAATAAATGACATGTTGCAACTGGTAAATGTACACTAATAACCTAAAAACTTTTACACTGTCAGTTTATATACAAGGTAAAACGGGCAGCCCGGTGCACTAAACTCCCGTTGTGCGCGGGGTTCGGAGAAGGGCTGGACCATAAGGATCTATTGTACGCAGCCTTACCCTATATTTCTGCAAGAGGCTGTTTTCAAGGCTTGAATCCGTGATCTCCTGATCACATGACAACAACTTTACCAGCTACGCCAAGTCCCCTTATATACAAGTTAACTTGGAAAAAAAGAGTGCCCCGCATGCACAAGAGTTGACATGCAGATAATGTAAGAACCCATTTGCAGAGAACTTTAAAAAAAAGTCCAAAAATAATAGAGCTTTATTGAGTTAAAGGTGGGAAGCACTATCAGAAGTAAATAAAATTTTCAAGTAAGGAATTCAAATGAGAAGGAAAAGTCCGTATAACGCAATGCTAAAATAACACAAAAAGAAGAAAAAAGCACCAGTCCGACAAAATTTGCCTACAAAACCCATGATTCCTAGGGTACTGCCACATTAGGTTTTCATTTTCTTATATAGCAAGTTGCTTCAAAAAAATCATTATACAGAATAATTAATTAATGTCTAAATCAAGTAGAGCTGCTTTTTTCTTTTCAGCCAGAGAGTTGTAAGGCAAGTGAAAAATGATTTGTTCAGTGGCATGTTTCTCATAACCCACTTCTTCTTGTTGGAAGTGAGACTACATGATGAATTATCTTTGGGTATTATTAGGAGATCTACTAGTATAAAAGATTTTTTCATTGGGCAATATTTTTCAGGTGTAACGTAAGCGTTATCTAAAATTAGTGTGTTTTTAGGCCAAATTTGCTATAATGACGAAATAACTCGTTAGATATATATGTGAGAAAGAGAGAGGATGCAAAAATGATAGAAGGGGTCATTATGAGGAAGAACTAAAATGAAAGGAGATAGTTTAAATAATTTGATCAAGGGAAAGTCTTAGATTACTTTAAGAGAAAAAGGTGGGAACCCACAAAGGAAAAGAAAGGGTACATCATGAAAACTTTAACACACACACACACAATAGGGCCTGTGTCTTTCTGTGATTATATATTTATATGGTTGTCCACTTCTCTATGGGAAACTCAAGTTAAAAGCAACCCTTTAACTTCTCTCCCTTGTTATAACTTCTCTCCCTTTAACACACACTACTAAAACCAAACACAGTGCTAAAAGTATTGCCTCTTTGAACTAATTTTGGCCAATGCCTCTTCACTGTGTAGCACCAAAACCAGAAAATTTTGGCACTGAATTGATGGCAGCTCCATCGATGAACTCAGAGTCCTTTACACAAAGGGCCTTGTTTCCCATAACTTTGAAGGTCTCTTTTCCTAACTAGTAAAAATTGATGTATTAGTGGTTTCTTTCCTTTAATTATTGGTAAATTAGTATTCTATAGTACTTGTTCGTTATTGCTCATGTGTGTTGAATATGTTATGCAGTTTGAAGAAATAGTGTACAAGATAACAAGCACAAAAGAGAAGACTATACTAAATGGAGTGACAGGAATTGTGTGCCCAGGGGAGATGTTAGCAATGTTAGGTCCATCAGGTAGTGGAAAGACTACCCTCCTAACAGCTTTAGGAGGCCGTCTTTCGGGAAAATTATCAGGGAAAATTACATACAACAGCCAGCCATTCTCTGGAGCTATCAAACGTAGTACTGGATTCGTGGCACAAGACGATATCCTATATCCTCATCTAACTGTAACAGAAACTCTCCTCTTCACAGCTCTGCTTAGGCTTCCCCAAAGCCTAAGCAAAGAGGAAAAAGAACAGCATGTGGAGCATGTTATTATGGAGCTCGGATTAAACAAGTGTAGAAACAGCATGATTGGAGGACCATTATTTAGAGGGATATCAGGTGGGGAGAAAAAGAGGGTAAGCATAGGTCAAGAAATGCTAATCAACCCAAGTTTACTATTGCTAGATGAGCCTACTTCTGGTTTGGATTCTACTACAGCTCTCAGGATTCTAACTACAGTTAAGCGCCTAGCAAACGGTGGCAGAACTGTAATCACTACAATCCACCAGCCATCCAGTAGGCTTTACCATATGTTTGATAAGGTAGTCTTGCTTTCTGAGGGCTGCCCTATCTACTATGGTCCTGCGTCTACTGCCTTGGAATACTTCTCCTCTGTTGGTTTTTCCACATCCATCACTATTAATCCTGCTGATCTTTTGCTCGATCTCGCCAATGGTAATTCAAACATTCTTACATAAATTCATAGTTTCATCATTTGATTTTGGCTTTGATAAAGTCAGATGAGTCACTAGCCTTGGTGATAAGCAATGGTAATTATTATAACTTTATGTAAGTAGAGTAAAAAGAGAACCCCACTCATAAGTTGTGCTACTATTTAATTAATCAATAGATTGACCAAATACTTATACAGTATACAGAGGGAAAAGATCTCCAAAAGTTTAAGGTTGAACTTTTGAAATCATGTATATGGTATCAAACATCATATTTTGAAATCTATCTTTAAATTTTCAGGAATTGGACCTGATTCCAAGCATGCAATTGAGCAAGGTGACAACACTGAACAGGAGAAGAAATCTGTGAGAGAAGCTCTCATATCTGCATATGACAAAACCATTTCTACTAGGTTGAAAACTGAGCTATGCAGTTTAGACACCAATAATTACAGTTACAAAAAGGATGTTTCGACAAGTAAGTTTCCAATTCACAGTGAAGAAAGGGATTGTTTTAATTGATATCAAATTCTTAATTAGTGACTAATTACAGCTCTATACTCGTGCAGGAAATGGTGTGAAGTCAGAGCAATGGTGCACAAGTTGGGGCTATCAATTTAAGGTGCTGCTACTAAGGGGGCTTAGGGAGCGAAGATACGAGACCTTCAATAGACTTAGAATCTTCCAAGTAATAAGTGTAGCATTTCTTGCAGGACTATTGTGGTGGCATACTCCAACATCTCACATTGAAGACAGAGTAAGAACTTATCTGTTCACCTGTGCTATCTTTTGAGTAAGAAAATAAGGTTCAAGATTATAGCTCATATTTACAGTCAACACAATGTTCTCTTTGAATATAGAACCATTTCTGAGTTGCTTGAAGAACAGCAATATGCAATTGCTAATTGTTGTCATTTGACTTCCTGGTGCAGATTGCAATGTTGTTCTTCTTCGCGGTATTTTGGGGTTTCTATCCACTCTACAATGCAGTTTTCACTTTTCCTCAAGAAAGAAGGATGCTCATCAAAGAGAGATCATCAGGAATGTACCGACTCTCATCATATTTTCTAGCTAAAACTGTAGGAGATCTTCCCTTAGAACTGGCACTACCGACAGCGTTTACCTTCATCCTATATTGGATGGGTGGACTCAAAGCTAACCCTGCCACCTTCATCCTATCTCTTCTAATAGTCCTTTACAGCGTACTCGTTTCTCAGAGCCTCGGTCTAGCTTATGGTGCTATGCTCATGGATGTGAAACAGGCGACTACTTTAGCATCGGTCACAACCTTAGTCTTCCTAATTGCTGGAGGATATTACATTCAGCAAATTCCCCCTTTCATAGTTTGGTTAAAATATCTGAGCTACAGCTACTATTGCTACAAGTTGCTACTAGGAGTGCAATACAACGACAACGACTACTACGAGTGTTCAAAAGGAGTCTATTGCCAAGTTGCAGATTTCCCAGCAATAAAATCAGTAGGCCTGAACAATATGTGGATGGATGTATTGATCATGGCTCTAATGTTAGTGGGATATCGGCTTGTTGCTTATCTAGCACTCAACCGTGTACGATGAAGACGTGCAGAGGGGACCATTTCAAGAGCAAAGTGGAAGGTTTTTTTTTTTTTAATTCCTCAACAACATAGTAATAATGTTAGGTTTAGATTATGATCGCATTGCCAGATTTTGATCATATACACCAAGAATTTGAATGTAGTACCACTCTGGCAATGTTTTACATAACTGACTTAGGAAAGAATAAATCTGTAACATTTTGAACGAAATAAATATCCTTTAAGCAAACAACAGATTCATTTTTAATCGCAGCAAAAAGAAAAAGCAAGTAATGGTGCACACAACAAGATTTAGAATCTGAGTGGGGTCGAGTACAATAAATTAATGAGTTGTGCAAGTGCATTGACCATATAAAGACAGCACCTGTTTAGATCACTAAAATTAGCTTTTTTCTGCTCTCAGTGCCTTTCCTTTTCTTTATACTATAAATATAAATTCTTGGTGATATATTTTTATAATAGCAATATAGAAAGTTTGATTTCAAATTCAGTTTCTGCCTCTCCCTAAAAATTCTTGGGGTTCTATTTAGAACATCATAAGCAACTTGTTTGTCCTTACACATGCAAAGTGGTTTTTTGAATGAATGGTTTCAATCATCACTTGCAAATATCTTGAGCTGTAATGGAACACAATTTTCCCCAATAATGAAGCATTCAGAGTTTCTTCTTGCCCGAGATCTTATAACATCCAAGCGTAAAGAAAAGTAACAGAAATTAATATGGAATAACAATCATCCTGTATTCAATAAGAAAATTAATGCACTGTGTATTTGGTATGACTTTAAGTTTTCTAATAGAAAATGTTGTTTTGTTTTGGTTGATGAGTGAAAAATATGAAGAATATTATTATTAACAGTCAGGCATCTGAAGCTCTCAAGTAGCCGTCAGGTTATCAACAGCTTTTGACATTATATTAGCAAATAGGACAGTGCTTTGATGATAATGTTAAGTATTAAAGGTTGATAATGCTATATAAGTATTGGTTGGATGAAGCCATATAAAATTAAAAGTTTGTAAGAAAATAACTTCCCAACATTCAAACACCAATATAGGACTTAATCATAGAAAAGTCCATCGTATCAAATGGCGCACATTATTTACTTTTCTGCAGTAAAATCACAGGTTGACGTGAGAACATACATAATCAACAGCCAGATGAAGATTTTCTTAAACTGCGAAAATCCCTTTGCATAATTCCTACTTTATTCATTTCACTGCCCCATCCACATTTTCTCTTACTCAACTATCTAAAAATTAATGACATGTCTTTATAATTAACACTGTCCTTTTTTTATGTAGTACTATAAAAATTGTAGTTTCCCACTTACTATGGGTAAACTACTTAAAGAAAGTGGAAACTTCAATTACCAGTGGGCCTCGCAAACTGTGCTTTGAAAGAGACAACAGATCACGCCATACTGACTATCCTCAGTGGAACTCAGAGTAGACATAACTGAATGAAGAAGGTTTCAAGCTTAGTTACGCCTGACACAAATGTTGGACAATATTTATCTGAATGTATTGCTTCAAACCACATTAATCAGGTGGGGAAAATGCCAATATTTCAAAGGGCAAAATACATAAGTTACCCCCAAAAGTATGGACCAAATCTCTGTTACACACTTTCTGACTATGAAAATCATTTTACACACTCAACATTTTCAATGTGTAGCTAAGACACACTATTTGGTCCATATTTAGAGGGTAACTTATGTATTTTGCCCATTTCAAACAAGAAAAAAGCATGTCATACATGCGGAAGAGTTTAACTTATACTATAATTTTTATACTATCCCATCATCCAGATATAGCGTATGTTAAGTAAATACATTTGAAAGATAGTAAATAAGATATGCTCTTCTAACTAATAAAATATTGCTTCTATTTGGTTTGGCTTGTGTGAAAGAAGCTATGCCTTTTCTTGCAATTCTTGTATTTAGGGGTCATTTGGTACGATGGACAAGCAAAAATTATCTTAGGATAAAAATTTAGTGCCGTATTATCTCTTGTTTGGTTACTAATTCTAAAATAAGTTATCCCAGGATTAAAAATAATATTGGGATAACTTATACCTGTCAGAGGGTGGACAATAATCCTATGATAAGTTATCCCAGGATGCAGCGGTAAAAATGACAATCCCAGGATTAATACAAAATCCCAAACAATCAATAAGAAATAATATCATGATAACTAACCTAATATAATTAATCCCAGCATAACTTATCTTCAAACCAAACGACCTCTTAGTATGTAATTCGTATCGTGCGGTCTACTTATAATAGTTTTCTACCTTCGAAGTCTGTTTTATGGACCATCTTCAAGTCTTTTTCCAAATCTTTTGCGAGCTTCTACTTGCTTGTCCCACGAGAATATTTAACAAGCCTTATATATTTCTTGAATCCTTCTAGTATTGCAGCAGTCAATTACTTACAAGAATGAAAAAGTCACCCATGGGTGATTTGTCAAGTCCAAAATGAGAAATTGAAGAGAAAAAAAAAAGAGGGCTCCTCTCCATTTCTCATTCTTTCCATTTCTCCAAATTCTAACTTGGATGTGAGCCTCATATAATGGTTAAAAATTACAAATTGAGATTAATTAACCATATCAAAGCGCTAACCATGGTTAACATTTAAGTTATTAACAGATATTTTTATATTAATTTCTTAAGTTTCCGGCAGTTCTTCTTGTTCCACGTTTTTGAACTTCCATAATTTCATCTTTTTTCTCCTTCTTGTTTTATTGTGCCACTAGAGACACATAGTTTTTTGTATTTTGACTTAATCTTTACTTGTTCATTGTTGCGTTCCCTTTCTCTTTAAAATGTTCAACCCTTATTATTTTATCCTCGTCATGTTTACCCGTAAAAAGGGTACGGTTAAATTTGTATACGTAGTTTATAAACACGTGGATTAAGATGATATGATTAGTAAAATAATGAAGAACAAAGGAAATAAAACAAAGATAATTTAGGAATGAACAAACTTGAAATTCAAATTGATCCCACTGGAATCAAGAATAATTGGAATGCTTCGATATTAGCCTTGTATTAAACTTAAGAAAATAAGAGAGAGAGATAGCTTTTGTGATTCTAGTATTTCGTTTCCTAACAATGAGTACAAATATTGCTATTTATAATGCAACCAAAGGAGACAAGATCCCAAAATTACGCCCTAATAAAGATGAATAAAACCCCCTCTTGATGGTTACATAACGTTGGGAATAAATAATGTAATTTTTTTAACGGCTGCTCCTTTAATGTTGTTCTTTCCAACCGGTACCTTACTTCAAATTCTTTTTCCCGATCCTCGTGTTCTTAGAATCTACACAATACCGGTCACTTGATTGTATCGGGTATTAACTATTTGCTGACTCATCTCCACCTTGTCAACATTGCCATGTGTAAACTGCAGATTTTACCCAATACAGATAGTCCCCCCTACTTTCTAGTGACTCAACTTGATGTGACCGGAAAGTAGATAAGACCTTCTCTTTTCTTGGCGGAGAACGGCTTTTGACACTTGAAGAGATGCACGTCTCTTTGCATTTAATGAGCTTAACACATGTTCCTCCATGATTTGATGAACAGTTTCGCCAGTTACCTAGGTAATGATGGCTTTTAGTGAACCGCCGATAAACTTCCCCCTTTTCACCCATTTTATCTTTCACTTTTCAGCATCTCTTCATCAAACTATTTTGCAATTACCTTTTCTATTCGAAATCTTCGAGTTTGAATAGCTAATTTCACTATTTCGACCACCATGTATTTTGCTATTTCCTTCTCCGGTAACTCATCTTCTGCCATCAAACAATATAATCTTGTTATGATTTTATCTCCTCCCTCTTCTACCGGTGCCGGAACTTGCATCCGAGATGGACATCCAAGAAAAGCAAACCCAAAAGTTCTGACAATGAACCTCTCACAACAAATACAATCATTCCTACTAAACGGTTCTTTAACAAGGATCTCCAGGTCAAAAATACTTTCTCTAACCCTGACGACGATAGAAATAGAGCAGTTGGCGAGTATCCTTCGTCTATCGCCCGACCAGCATTCCCGTTGTGAAGGAGAATTGTGACTGGAATATTATTGAAATTTTGTCCCCTCCCCCCTCCCCGAAGTGGATAAGGTAACTTTCAGTAAACCAGGGTATGTTTTTTGGTTATACATACCCTTTTATCCTCAGGGTTGAAAAGGAAATTGACCCTATTATTATTAAGTTTTGCCGGAACTACCAAGTCTGTTTGGCTCAAGTGACTCCGGCGATATGGCGTACGGTAGCTTGCCTTCGGTATCTGTATTCCCGGGCACATGAAGACCTCACTCTTGCACGCTTTATCCACCTCTATGCTCCCAAAATATTCCAAGGATGCATAATTAAACTCAGCAAATATAGTCACAATGCCATCATCACCGACGTGGATGATAATAATGACCGTGGTTGGATGAAGAGGTTTGTTGTCGTCTCTCCTGGGGATATTATATCACCATCAGCATCTTGAAGCTTGGTACTATACTCGTAAATTTTGTCAAATATTTATTTCCTTTTTCATTTTGAAAGGGTTTTCACTCTTTCCTGAATTCTTCTTACTTCTGTTTTACCTACTCGTTGGGTTCCCCCAATAGTCGAAAACCTAACCCAACGGGTTCATAAGATTTTGGATACTTCCACGCCGGAACTATGTATGTGGAAGAAAATATCAATAAAGAAAAATTGGAAGTGCAAGAACCATGGTGAGAATACTTTCATCCTTCCTTTTTTGTTGACGTGTGCCTTCATTCGGTAATAGATTGTTGACTGTTCATGTTTTGTGTTGCAACTTAGGCCTTCCAAAGGGGTCATTTGTTTGTCCGGTTGTCGAGGTTTCACTGGACCTAAAGGTGGCCGTACAAAAACTTTAAGAAGCCCTTGATAGAAAAAGGGCTCATGATGCAGCATGTGCTTCCGGTGAAGCTGCAACATCAATCAGTCCCCGGCCCAAGGGGAAGAAACCTAAAAGAAGGCATTCCTCTAAGACTGAGGCTAAAGAGCAGCCCCCGGTTACAGAGAAAATTCCGGAAGGATAGGATATTATGGTCCTCGATGAAGAAGAAACCGAGATTAATGCTGAAACGGTGTCTCTCAAAGAAGAAGGAGAAGAAGAAGAATACCAACAGTTCATCGGAGGAAGTGGATGGACTCTTTTGATAGTCTGAATTGGCTGAAATAGTTGGCTCTCCTTTCTGGGCTC